CTGTAGAAACACCACCCCAATCTCTGCCTTCCTCTTCATGTGCTGTTCTTCCTGTCTGTGTGTGTGTGTGTCCACAGTTCCCCTTTCATAAGGCATCAGTTATACTAGAGTTGGGGCTCACTCTGTTCCCGTAGCACCTCATCTTAACTGATCTTATCTGAAAAAAACCCTATTTCCAAATAAAGTCACATTCTGAAGTATTGAAGGCTAAAACTTCAACATATGGATTTGGGGAGGACACAATTCCACCTGTAACTTACTAAAGGGATGAGGGAAGATCCCTTTCAGTAAGTGATATTTGAGCAAGAGACTTAAATAAAATGGATGGAGTAAGGGATCTCCCTGGTGGTCTAGTGGTTCAGACTACATGCTGCCAATGCAGGGGGCCCAGGTTCAATCCCTGGTCAGGGACGAAGAATTGATGCTTTTGAACCGTGGAGCTAGAGAAGACTCTTGAGAGTCCCTTGGACAGAATGGAGATCAAACCAGCCCATCCTAAAGGAAATCAGTCCTGAATATTCACGGAAGAACTGATGCTGAATCCAAAGCTCCACTATTTTGGCCACTTAATGTGAAGAGCCGACTCATTGGAAAAGACCCTGATGCTGGGCAAGATTGAGGGCAGGAGAAGAGAGTGGCAGAGGATGAGATGGTTGGATGGCATCACTGAACTCAGTGGACATGAGTTTGATCAAGCTCTGGGAGATAGTGAAGGGCAGTGAAGCCTGGCGTGCTGCAGTCCATGGGGTTGCAAAGAGTTGGACATGGCTGAGTGACTAAACAACAACAAAAAGGAACTAGATCCTGCATGCCACAAATAAGAACCTGCGCACTGCAGCCAAGACCTGGTGCATCCAAATAAATTTTTTTAAAAATGAGGGAGTGACTATGCAGACATCTGAGGGAATAGAATTCTAGGGGGAGAGAACAGCAAATATGAAAGTCCTGCGATGGGAAAAGAGATTTTCCTGCCAAAGGAACAGGTCATTGTGTCTAGAAGGTAGCAAGAAGAGTGGTAAGAGATGAGGTGAGAGAATGATTCATCAACAGGAAATCCATCAACTTACAATTATTAAACTCTCAAAATTAAAGAAGAAAAACCTTATGAATTTATCAGAGTTCAAAAAACCAAAACCAAAACAAACAAACAAAAAACTGCTGTTGTTCCCAGTAAAAACACTAAGGTATAAATAGACAATAACTTTCTCTTATGATAAAGAGTATCAGAGCATACAAGCATACATCATATTATTCATGCAATGTAAAGACATTTTTGTTGTTCAGAAATGTGGAGGGATGCCAGCAATTACCTCTTTGGTTCAGTATTGTTATTTTGGTTCAATATTGTTATATTTGCTAAAGCAATAAGATAAGAAAAGGAAATAAATAATATTCTCCTCATTGTTTGCAGATAATATGTTCCTACACACTCCCCCTGCCCCCACAATGAGGTATTTTCAGCAATCAGAACTGAATCACACGTATACAGAGATCAGACTTATGGTTGTAAAGGGGGAGGGGAGAAGGGAGAGGGATGATCTGGGAGTTTGGGATTGGTAGATGCAAATTATTACATTTAGGATGGATAAACAACAACCATAAAACAACAAGGTCCTATTATATATCACAGAGAATGATAGCCAATCTCTTGGATAAATCACAATGGGAAATAACTTTTAAAAGAATATATATGTGTATAACTGAGTCACTTTGCTATACAGCGGATATTGGCACAACATTGTAAGTCAAGTATACTTCCATTTAAAAGCAAATAGAACTGAATCAGTCTTTTATGCACTAGACTTATGTACTCTGGGTCCACTTTCTTGTCCTAGTCATGGCTACAGCAAGCATCTGGTTGTGCGGGTAGAGCCTGCCCGCCACTTGCCTCAGCTGCACTGCGCACCCCTGGGTCTCTACTGCTGCTGCTTGGGATGCTTCTGGAGTTCACTCAACCTCCCGAGCACATGTGCACCCCGGAAGAGGGAGTTTGCAGGGCAACCCTGGAGCCGTGAGGAATGGGTGCTGGTGGATACAGGCCTCCCGGGCTTCTGTGCATCAGTGGACACTTCTGACATCCTCCATGTTTTCTCAAGTACTCCACAGCAATAACACAAGAATACACGTGGTGTGGGATTCCCGCACCTTCCCTGTTTCTCTCTTCCAGGGCCTCCATTCTGGATCCCAGTGATCACTTCCAAAAACAAACTATTTGTCCACTAGACCAAGTCCCATGTCATAAATTCTGCTTTGGGAGGGAATCTGAATTAAGAGAGTTAGTACCAGAAGAGGCTGTAGAAAGCAAAACTTAGGGGTAGAATTCTAAGATACATCACACACCCTTCAGACCCATGGTAGGGCCCTTCTGCTGGTGGTGAGTGAGCCGGTGATGAGCTCTGGCCTGTGGCACAGTTATAATGACTTGCTAGGGGTGGATTAGGATGTGATTCAGGTGGAAGGGGAAGCATGGGCCTCCATGCTGGCAGTGGAACTTTAACTGCATTGAGGCAATGGTAATAAGATGGACCACGGGGCTGGCTGACTTTTGTTAAGGGTTTTCAAAGCCTCAAATAATAATGACAGGCTCAAACCAGCCAAATGTCAATTTAAGGCACTCTGTGAATGTCCGTTAGTCTCATGGCAGCCTGAAGAAACCTTTACCTCCTGCAGGCACAGGGCGCTGTACGGTGAAAACTGGTCCAGGTTTATTCACATCTCTGAATAATGTTGGTTCTATTTCTCTCTTCAACCATGTTTAAACTTCTATTTAACCTATCAATGGGTGTTTTGTGTTAAGTAACATAATAAATTATTATATTTTCCATTTCTAGAAGGTTTGTTGTTGCTCGGTCGTTAACTTACCGTCTAACAGTTCTCGACCCCGTGGACTGCAGCACAGCAGGCTTCTCTGTCCTTCACCACCTCCTGGAGTTTGCTCAGATTCAAATCCATTGAATTGGTGATGCTATCTAGCCATCTCATCCTCTGCCGCCCTTTTCTCCTTTTGCCTTCCATCTTCCCACTATCAGGGCCTTTTCCAAAGAGTCGGCTCTTTGCATCAGGTGGCCAAAGTATTGAAGGTTTTTTTTTGGTGGGGGGGAGGTAAGGGTAGAATCTCTTTCAAATTACTTGACTATAGTTTATAGTCTCTTATTCCTTGCTCATATTTTTAAGCTTTCTTTTAAATCTTTAAACACATATAATTATTTTGTATGTCTGATAACACTCACATCCGCAGGTTTCTGGATGTGATTTTATTGTCTGGTGTTTCCAACGGCTGTCACTCAGAGTGAAATTTTCCTCATGTGTTTTGTGACTTGTTTTGACCGTGAGTTGCCTAAATTCCCTGAAAAGTTATCCAAGGGGAGTTGTTGAAACCTGTGTGGAACTTGCATTTCTCCAGAGAATATTTACAGCTTGTCCTTTAAAAAAATTTTTAGTTTTGTTATCCTGCAGTCAGAAAATAAGTCTTGTAATATCTGTTTAGAAATCAAGCTGTCTGTTTTAATAAGTATACAATTAATATTACACACTAAGGATGTTCTGTGCTATTTATAGAAAAGCACATTCTGTCACTGACCGCAGACAGTGAAGTGCAGGGTGTCTTACTGCCACTTAAACTTTGAGCCTGTGCTGCCAGGGAGGCAGGAAACTCCAGCTCCGTCGGTCTTGGGGTGCGGCCCCTCAGGCTGCACTGGAATGAGGTAGATTCATCAGTACCCCAAGCCTAGAGGGAGGGGCTGTCTCATCTCCACTTCTGGCCCAGGCCTGCAGGCCTCCTGCAGGCCTCGGGCACCTGTGGGTGCCTGCAGCGGACAGTGGGCGGGGCTCACTCAGGTGTGCAATCCCAGGCCTTCGCGCCTGCCCCCACTGTCCCCGCACAGCCTTTCTCCTCTGACATCAAGGAACAGCAAGACGGGTTGTGTAGCTGGAGTGGAAGCTTAGAAATGACTGGAGCAGGGGAGTCAGACCTGGGGAGCCCCTTTAGATGACCCCAAAGCGCAGGTGCCCAGGGCTTTCCCTGCCCGCCTGCTGCTGGGTGAATGGGTACCTGCTTCTATTGTCTGGGTTGGGATGGAGTCATGTTATCTCTACTCTAAGGCCAGGAGGGCGCAAGGCGAAGCCAGGAGGGTTTAAGTGGGGGAGTGAGATGTGATTAAAGTTTTATAAAGTTCTGGACTTTATAAAAGTTGAACTGTGGACTCGGCTCAGTGACAAAGAGGGGGCTGGGGGGCCCCGAGGGAAGAAAGGGAGGGCATGAGGGGCCCAGGCCGCAGAATGGGTGCCAGGAGGGAGTGACGTGGGACCCTCGGCCTGAAGCTCCTTCACACGCTCTCTCTTCCCTGGGGTCCCCCAGGCCTGGAGAGGGGCCGCGGCGGCACGGCTCCCCAGGCCTGACCTTGAGTGAGGCCAGTCTGGCTTCGGGCCACGAAACTGGATCTGAAATGTGAAGAAATGCGGCTATTTCCCGGTTGACGTGGAAGGGATCCGGTTACCATTTGCTCCAGGACGGAAGGGGTTCTCCTCGGAGGGAGGGCAGGGAGCCGGGGCTGAGGGGGGTGTCCCCGCCCGCCCACGGGGTCCTGGGGAAAACGCAGCGGGGCCGGGTAGCTCGGACCTAGCGGAGAATGAAGCCCGGGTGGCGCGGCCGGTGGGCGAGGCCGGCGCCGGACCGCCCGGGCCGGGGGCGGGGCAGACGCTGCGCGGGGCGCAGGAACCGCGGCCGGCGGAGGGGCGCGCGGGGCCCTCGGCCTGGGGCGGGTGGCAGCTGAGCCGCAGGGGGCAGAGCCGGGCCGGGCCGGGCGGGGCGGGCTTGGGCACAGAGGGGCTAGCTTACCCGCGCCCGGGCCGGAGCCCGCGCCCCGGCACCCCCGCCCCGGTCCCGCCTCTCCCCGTCGCCCCGCCCTCCCCGGCCCCCCGCCCCTCGCGGCCCCCGCCAGGCCCCGGCCTCCGCGCGCCATTCCTGCCGCCGCGCGTCCCGCCAGCCGCGCGCTTCGGCCATGGCGGGCCTGGGGCTGCGACCGGCCAAGGGCTACCGAGTGGTGCTGCTGGGCAGCGTGGCGGTGGGCAAGACGGCGCTCGCCACGCAGTTCGCCTGCGGCAGCTTCCCCGAGCAGTGCGAGCCGTCGGTGGAGGAGCTTTTCAGCAAGGTGATCGAGGTGAACGCGGCGCCCGCCCTGCTGGAGATCGTGGACACGGTGGGCGCCGAGCACCTGGTCACCCTCAAGGACCTGTACATCAAGAACAGCGATGGCTTCGTGGTGCTCTACAGCGTCTGCAGCGAGGCCTCGTTCGAGGCGGTGCGGCCGCTGCGCGAGCGCATGGGCCGGCTGCGGGGGCCCAAGGCCGTGCCGCTGGTGCTCGTGGGCACCAAGGCCGACCTGGATGCCCAGCGCCAGGTGCTGACGGCGCAGGGCCGCGCGCTGGCCCGCGAGTGGCGGTGCCCGTTCCTGGAGGTCACGGCCAAGAGCAAACTGATGGTGGACCAGGTGTTCACGCAGGTGGTGCGCGAGATGGAGGCCCTGGCCCCGCCCGAGGAAGTGGTTCCCGCGGTCCCCACCAACGCGCAGGAGACGTGGCCGTCGGAAAGATTCATCGGCTGACGCGCGGCGGTTCCTCTTGCCTGTATTCATCGCTTTTCGTGATTTCTGAAGCTCCCTTTGCTCCTCTGCGTTTTTAAAGAAAGTTATTCAGCTGTAAACAAGTGGTTACTTCTATATATTGACTCAAATCCGTGCCTCAGACTGTCCACAGAGCTTCTTAGATATTTGTCGAGAACTTTGCAACTGTATTTACTTCTGACAGTGCTGGGAGGAGAAACCAAAAATCAATTTTTTACCTCCTGTATGAAGAAAGGCTACCCTTTTCTTCAGTGGAATTTGTTACAGGATTTTTGTTTTGGTGATAATTAACACCTTCCAGTGTCATCTGACGTTTGATATTGATTGAGGAACATGAACTGAAGTTTCAGCTTTCCATTCCATGAGGCTCTGATGTGTTTCCCTCTCATTTACAGCCTTGAATTGCAGTAGTATTTTCCTCTCTGCGTACTTCTAAATATAGTTATGACATACATAGCCATGGTTTGAAAGGGATACTGTATACTCTGGGAGGGGAAAAATCAACTGTGTACTCGGGCAGAGATAGCTCAGCTCAAAAACCTTCAGTTTTGTAATTGACATCTAGTTGATTTCTACATCTGTCCATCTGTGAATATATATGTGTCGATAAAATGAAAATAAAATGACTTTAGAAGTCGATAGTTTTTGATATTTGTCTTTCTAGAACTTAAGCTACAGTTCCTAAAGTTTCCGTACATCATATCTTTGGTTTTCAGTTATTTTCCAGGACAAGTTAGTTACTAGAGTGAAAATGGGCCCACATCTTTCTCTGTTTCTGCAGAAGTGCTTTCGACTGCAAGTGTTTTTTTTCTTGTCTCTGGCCAGAGTCAGATATGTTGTCTGAATACCTGCCTAGTTTAACACCAGTACTGAAGTAGAAACAAAACATGAAGAATCTTTTTGCATACTTTTCACGTAACAGTAGAGATCTTTCTTGCACTGGCTTAATTTTAAAAATTGGTCTTTGATATGAGTTGCTTGTGTTTATTTGCACAAGTTAGCAATTTTACCTCCCCCACTGCAACAAATTTTTAAAATTTAGGAAACTAGCTTAGCCATTTGAAGTGAAAGTCGCTCAGTCATGTCCGATTCTTTGTGATCCCATGGACTATACAGTCCATGGAATTCTCCTGGCCAGAATACTGGAGTGGGTAACTGTTCCCTTCTCCAGGGGATCTTCCCAACTTAGGGATTGAGCCCAGGTCTCCACATTACAGGCGGATTCTTTACCAGTTGAGCCCCCAGGGAAGCCCATAGCCATCTGAACATCTAAGAAGAAAATAAAACAACAAAGCTCTGTGCCTGTGGTCTAAAATAATTCCATTAAAGGAAACTTATAGAGTGGCGGTTATACTAGGCTCTGGGTGTTATATTTACAGTGTATATGATATTTGACCAGAAGAATGGATTTTAACGCACACAAAAATATTTTAGAACCTCACAGTGCCTGAGAACTAGTTTTCCCGGAGGAGGCGGCTAGGCCGGGCCCTCCCCTGTCTTTTACTTCTTTCTCTTGCCCCTGGACACTGGGGATGGGGTGGCTGGGTGCTTCCTTTTGAGCCTTGAAACCCAGCTAGCCCACGCTCGCCTATGACCCTCTCTCCTGGGGTCACTGCTGCGGGCAGTGTTACCTCACACCTCTTCCGGAACCTTCATTTCTCCAAGGGGAAGGTCCCGACACAGGGAGGGGGAGGGGTGGGCAGTCAGGAAGCCTCTCCTGGCCTCAGCTTGGGCTGACGCTGCCCCCTCCTCCTGCTGAAGCAGAGGTGAAAACCCAAGACCCTTCCCTGACCAAATGTGGGCTGCACAGAGAAAGCCCCGGTGGCGGGGGGAGCCGGGGGGGAGCCGGGGGAGTGGGAAGGTGAACAGCAGTCCCCGCCCACCCCTGAGAGCTGGGCCCCCGGGACTGGAAGTGGACGACCCCTTCGCCCTGCCTTTCTGACTCCACTTGCTTATGCTGAGGCCTCTGGGGAGGTTTTGTGTCCCTGGATCCCAGGCCCTCTGGATATCAGGCCTGATTCAGGAAAAAAAATTCACAAACAGCCATTTCTTTCTTTAAATTACTGGAGTCATCTCAGACTACCACTCAGATCCAGGTGTCCGGCTTGGAGGCCAGGGGCGTTCCTAACTGACCGGTCATGACCAGTCAACACGAATGACTGGGCCTATGTGATGAGCTCAAGTGACCGCAGGAGGAAGTATGAAGCAGCTTTCCGGGTATATGTGCCCGCACACACACACAACTAAAGACCCACACCCTGATTTTCTTTCTCTTCCTGCATTTCTAGTTTCTAATTTATTTCTGTTCCTCACCAGTTGCCTGCAGTCCCTCTGGCCTCGGTGAGTAAGCAAGTGGCCGGCATGACCCCTCGTCAGGGTGCTGTGGTGCCGGAAGCGCTGTGCCCAGCTGAGGGACCGTGGCGCTGTGGCGCCTGACTTGCCATCCTGAAAGGAGTGCTCAGATCCCCAGCCCTTCACGTGAGACGGGGTGTAGACTGTGCCCGCTCAGTATAACTGGAGAGCGCGAAGCTGGTTTCCAAAGAGGACGGAACCGTCACTCACCCACAAGAAGGGTGAGTGCTTCTGAGTCTCCAAGCGCCCCGCCACTTGCCACTCGGGGCAGGTCTTTTTCTTGCCGGTGTGGTATGGTTTCAGTTTGTGTTATTCAGATTGCGGGTGATGTAAGTTTTTTGTTTTTGCAGATCTCACTTCCCTAACCAGGGATCGAACCTGGGCCCTCAGCAGTGAAAGTGCCACGCCCTAACCACTGGACCACCAGGGAACTGCTGATGCTGAGATTTCTTTCGGGGATTTTTTTTTCTATATTTCAGCCGTGCCATGTGGCATGCGGGATCTTAGTTCCCAACCAGGGATCAAACCTTTGCCCCCTGCACTGGGAGTCTTGAATCCTAGCCATTATACCACCAGGGAAGTCCCTCTTTGCCCATTTTTGAATCAGGTGATTTTTCCATTGTTAAATTTTAGGAGGTCTCTATATATTCTGGATGTTAATTTTGTGTCAGGTATGTGATTTGCAAATATTATTTCCCATTCTGTGGGTTGCCCTTTTACTCTGTTGATAATGTATTTTGATGCACAAAATTCAAATATTTTCCATGAAATCCAATTGTCTAGCTTTTCTTTTGTTGTCTGTGACTTTGGTATCATTTCAAAGAAATCACTGCCAAATTCAAAGTTTCCAAGTTTTGACATATGAAAACATAGGTTTATGACTAGTCTATACCTTTGATCTATATTTTGTCTTTTATGCGGGTACTGTACTGTTCTGGTTACTAAAGTATTGTAGCAGTTTTGAAACCAGGAAGTTTGTCTTCCAGCTTTATTCTTTTTCCAGGTTGCTTTGGCTGTTTGGGATCCCATGGCACTCCATATGAATTTTACAAGAAGTTTTTCTATTTCTGAAAAGATGTCATTGGAATTTTTATAGGGATTGCATTGAATCTATGGATTGCTTTGTGTAGCATTGATATGTTAATGATATGAGGTCTTCCAATCATAAACATGGAATCCATTTATTTGTGTCTGTTAATTTTTTAGCAATAGATTGTCATCTTCATTGTACAAGTCCTTTCACCTCCTTGGTTAAGTTTGTTTCCAGTACTTTACTCTTTCTGATGGTATTGTAAATGGAATTGTTTTCTTAATTTCCTTTTTGGATTGTTCATTGTTAGTGTATAGAAATGCAACTGATTTCTGTCCATTGACTTTGTATCCTGCCGCTTTGTTGAATTTACCACTTCTAACAGTTTTGAGTTGTTTTTCTTTTGTGGAATCTTTACCGGTTTCTCCACATAAGATCATATGAGCAGAGATATTCAACTTCTTCCTTTCCAATTTGGGTGACTTTTATTTGTTTTACTTGCCCTAATTGCTCTGGCTAGGATTCCAGTACAATGTTGAATAGAAGTGGTGAAAGCAGACATCTCTGCCCTGTTCCTGATCTTAGAGGAAAAGTTTTCAGCCTTTCATTTCTGAGTATAATGTTCATTGCGGACTTTTATATATTCAGTTTCTATTACATTTAGCTAATTTCCTTCTATTTCTAGTCTGTTGAGTGTTTTCTTTTGTGAAAGGGTTTGAATTTTGTCAAATTATTTTTTTGGCATCAATTAAGTGTGGTATATACATTGATTTTATTTTTTAAAATTTTGTCTACACTGGGTCTTTGTTGCCCTGGGCATGTAGAATCTTAGTTCCCCAACCAGGGAATGAACCCACACCCCCTGTGTTAGAAGAGTGGAGTCTTAACCACTAGACCACCTGGGAAGTCCCACATGGATTGATTTTTGTATGTTGAACCGCTCATGCATTCCAGGAATAAATTCCTCTTGTACATGGTGTATAAGACTTTTTATGTGTTGTTAAATTCTCTTTGCTAGTATTTCATTGACAACATAGTTGATTTTTTCCCCCAGTTTTATTGAGATATATTTGACACAGAACATCGTGTAATGTTGTACACTGTAACATTGTGTAAACATTAATGGTGTACAGTGTAATAGTTTGATACACATATATATTATCAATACAAAATGATTAACACAGTTCAATTAGATAACACATCCTTCACCTCCCATGATTATAATTTTTGTTGTTGTTGTGATAAGAACATTAAAGATCTACTTTCCCAGCAACTTTGAATATGATTTTTATCCTTTATTCCCTATCCATTTCATGGTTTCTTTCCTCTCAGCCTGGACCTTGGCTGATTAGAGTTCTTTACCCAGTAGAAAGACCCAAGCATTCATTCCCAAAGGATTCGCGCGCTCAGTAGGTTTCTGCCACTTTTTGGTTGATACCACTTTATGATAACCTTTTACTATTGGAACAGAAATACCAAGAGGCATCTCAAAGAACCCACTTGGTCTCTGGGTACAACAGTTAGAGTAAGCTCCTCCACCACCCCTCAGCTCCAAAACTCCTGTATTCTGACTTTGGGGAAAACAGCACCAAATATGAGCCCCTGATTAAAGAATATGCCAGAAGCCGTAAGATGGAGCCCCATCCTCTCCGACTACAGTCTCCCAGCTGGTGCTGCCCTTGTCTTCAGAGGCTGTCCCACCTTCCCATCAGGCCAGCTACTTGCGGGTGAGCGAATAGAAATAGGACCATTGCACTCCATGGGCATGGCCTATTACTTTGTTTCTTCTGCTGTAAAATCAATCCTCTGGTCATAGAAATGTTCTGCGGGGTACCAGGAAGGTCTACAAGGCATCCTGCAGATCTGTGATGGTGGTGCTGGCAGAAGCATTAGCAGCAGGGAAGGCAAAGCCATATCCAGAATAAACGTCTGCCCCAGGGACGGCAAACAGCTGCTCCTTCCACAATGGAAGAAATCTAATGTCATGGACTTTTCACCAAGTGAGGAGTGTTCCCTTGGAAGATGACACCATCATAGGGGCTCAGTGTTGGTCTCTGCTGTAGGCAGGTTAGATCCTCGATGGTGTTGAAGCCAGATCAGATGTTTTGAGGCAAAGTCCATGATGCGGGGCCCATTAGTAGCCTCTGTCCCTGCAGCCTTGGTTGTTTCGTGCATGGGCCCACTGAACAAGCACCTGGGGGGATGGCTAAAGTGGCTGAAAGGCACAGGACAGACTGTCTTGCCCAACTGATTCTTGACAGCCTCCTCTGCAGAGGTGCGTGAGGGTGGGTATTCACATGCGGTAAAGTACCTTCACACTCGAGGGAGGTCCAGCCTCATTTCTCTTCCCAGGTCACCCCATTACCAGTCTTCCAATCTTGTTTTTTCCAACTCTTTGATGGTCCAGCCCAACCCATTAGCAACTGTCCATTAATCAAATGTAGAGCCATACTTCTAGCCATCTTGCAGTCCAGGCAAAGTGGTTAACAACCCAGTGCTTGAATGCTTGAAGGGAAGACCACGGGGAGGCTTTTCCTTCACACTCTCCTCCAGGGCCACCTCTAGGTGGGGCTGTTGGGCTGCAGCCATCCACTTCTGGACCATCTGTAAACCAGGAGCGAGGCTTTCCCTCCTCAATCAACTAGTCATAAGGCCCTCCCCATGAGGCCACAGGTCCGGACTGTGGGTGGGAGACCAGGCAGCCGGAGGAGGTAAGACACACAGCCTATGAGCAGATGCTGACAGACTCCTGAGGCACGTGGTCCACCTTTGAAGGCACTGAGGACCACAGTGTGACCAAACGTCCGGCGGTGGCAGCACAGAGTCACCAGCTTCCCAGGCCGCAGAGATGCGCCCTTAGCGTCTGTGGGCCGGCCTGGCCCTCACAGCGGCACCGCGGTGGTCTCCCGTGACCGGTGTGGATCAAGACAAAAACAAGAGTGCTCTGTAATCAGGTCCAAACACAGACAAAAGTGTGAATACTTTCAGAGCCACAAAAAATGGTCAAACACTCTCCACTCTTCGCTACTATGAGTGATGAATGCTTCTTTACCAAGCACAGGTTCCCCTTCTCGGAGGTGAGTTGTTATGATATTCAAGCATGTAATTCCCCCCACTTCCCCACAGCATCTAATCCAGAGCAAAGCCCTGCTTCCGATTCAACTTTCACCGAAACCACCTCATACAAGCCCATAACCAGCTGAAGCTGTGCTGAAGCTGAAGCTCCAATACTTTGGCCACCTGATGTGAAGAACGGACTCATTGGAAAATGCCCTGATGCTGGGAAAGACTGAAGGCAGGAGGAGAAGGGGACGACAGAGGATGAGACGGTTGGATGACATCACCCAGTGGACTCACACTCACTCACATCGACTCAATGGACATGAGTTTGAGCAAACTCCGGGAGATAGTGAAGGACAGGGAAGCCTGGTGTGCTGCAGCCCATGGGGTTGCAAAGAGCCTGACACGACCGAGCGACTGAACAGCAACAAAACCGCCTCATGTAAGGCCATAACCAACTGAGAAACTTCGTGGCTCCCAGGTATGTGTTCCCCTTACTGCAACTGCAGAGTAAAGTCAACTTTTCTTTTTTGGTTGTGCCTCACAGCATGTCGGATCTTATTACTAGTTCCCAGACCAGGGATTGAACCCGTGCACCCTGCAGGGGAAGTGCGGAGTCCTAACCTCTGGTCTGCCAGAGGAGTGCCCAGAGAAAGACCAACTTGTTTGGTGATAGGCGTGCTCTGTGGTCTTAGCTGGAGGGCAGCCACACCACCCATCACCACACCACCCACACCTGTGGTGATAAGGCCACATCATCTGTGGCAGCCAAGCTTGTGGCCATCAGGGTGCAGGGAGCAGAACCACTGCAGATAATCTAAGCGAGGCTGACAGCAGACACAAGGCTCTGGACTGGGCCTCTGAGAACCACTTCCAGAGGTGGGGGTGGGGTTCCACCCTCTGGCTCTGCCTCCAGAGTCAGGAGTCTGCCAAACATCCAGAGCTGTCATCCTAGGCTGTGGCAGCCAAAATAGATGCTCCTGCGGCTGCTGTCCCTGCCTGCCACCACCCAGGCAGCTGGGAGGAGGCATCAGAACCTGCTCACCTCTTCTCCATCTTGCTTGTCAGCAGAGAAGAGCAGAGAGCAGCAAGGACATGGCCTCCGCCCCCTTTCCCCCTCCAAACCTCCTGGAAGATCACAGTTGGCTGACTCCAATTTCCTAGCAGACCTGGGAGGGAAGAAGTGGAGACAGGCAGCCGCAGCAACTCCCCCAATGTGGCCTCGAGCAGCTGTGCGGCCCATTTCCAGATTTCTCTTTCTTTCTCTCTCTCAAAGAAAACCATACTTTTGTGTTTAGCCCCACAGGGTCCCCACTACAGACTGGCGGAGGGAGGAGCCAGAATCCCACTGTGGTCTGAGTCTGGGACTCTGGGGTTCGAAAGCACGAGCCAAGTATCAAAGGTGGCAGAGGGGTTTCTGGGGCTCCCTGGGAAAGGTGGGCCCGCCCTGACCTGTCGGGGGCGGGGGGCCGGGCGGGCAGTGTGGGGGCCCCTTGTCAGTTGGCCTCTGGTGAGATCCGGGCAGATGCTCAGTCCCAAAGGCATAAAGGCCCCCGAGTCGTCGGAGGGCATCTCTGGGAGGGACGGCACTGGCGCGCTGAGGAAGCCCACGACAGGGGGCGGGGAGCGATCCCTTCAGATCCCATCCCCGGCCTGGGTGAGTGAACCCCCGGCCTCCCGGACGGGCCTCTGGCGCCTTCCTGGAACCTCAACCCGAGAGGTCGGGCTTCCTGGGGCGTGGACACCAGAGCGCAGCCTGCCCGAGGTCCAGTTACACGTGCGTGTTGTGAAGTCACACTCGGCTAGTTAATGAGGCCCGCCTGCATTCCAGGGACGGCCGCAGACCGCGGGGGAGGACGCCACCGAGTTGGACTGGGAGACCTGGGGCAAGGGTTGGCGGCCGGGGGCGGGGCGGCGGGGGCGGAGCATTCCTGCGGGTGGAGGCGGGCCCCGCGGCCCTACGGGCTGACCACTCCTCCCTCCCGGACGACCACGCCCACCAACAACCACGCCTCCCTCCCGATGCCCACGCCCCATCAATAACCACGCCTCCTTTCGGGGTGTTCACATCCCGTCGATAACCCCGCCCCCGCCCGGGTGGCCACGCCTCCCACCAGGCTGCTGACCCGCCTGCGCCGGACCCGGGCGAGGCTGCGCAGAATCCACTTATATGGAAACTTAGTACTTGTTCCTAGATCGCGGTCTGCTGTGCTGGGAGGCTGGGACGCAGGAAGACCCGGCGGCCGTGGGCGGGAGGCAGGGGGCCGGCGGGTTACTAGGGGCCCCTGGACACTGGTCCCCGCCGGGCGTTTGTGCTGCGGCGGCGGAGGGGACAGCTCTGGGACGAAGACGCACGTGGGTGGCAGGGAAGGAGCCTCTCAGGGCAGCGACTTCGGTGCGTCCTGGGTGACTTGGAGGGAGGGGCATGCCCACTGGAGGACGTCCTTACTCTCGGTGTAAGGTGACACCGCCGGGAAGTGGGGAGCGAGGCCCACCCACTCTCGTGGGAGGAGGGCAGTGAGCCTTTTGGTTTCCAAGGCTTCAAAACAGAGTCCAACCCCTGGGAGGGAGAGGACACCAAGGAACCTCAGAGCCCGCCCGGCGTGGGGTTGAGAACTGAGCTCTTTGGTCTTGTTTTTGAGGCAGGCAGTGAGATAAAAACCCTCACCTTATTTATATGAGGGACTCCCCTAGTGTCCAGTGGCTAAGACTCGGCTGCTCCCAGCGCTGCAAACCTGGGCCCCACTCCTGGTCAGGGCACTAGAGCCCACATGCCGCAGCTAAGGAGCCCCTGAACCTAAGAGTGGGTGCAGCCAAATAAGTGAATACATATATTTTAAAAGAATAAAGCGTTCTCGGGCTGGCGGCTAGGCCCGCATTTCCCTAACCGTCGAACCCCGCAGATGCCAGTGGCCGTGGGTCCCTATGAACAGTCCCAGCCAAGCTGCTTCGACCGCGTGAAGATGGGCTTCGTGATGGGTTGCGCCATGGGCATGGCGGCGGGGCGCTCTTCGGCACCTTTTCCCGTCTCAGGATCGGAATGCGGAGTTGGGAGCTGATGGACGGCATCAGAAAAACCATGATGCAGAGTGGCGGCACCTTTGGCACATTCATGGCCATTGGGATGGGCATCTGATGCTAATCAGGGCAGTGGTTGCCCACAACATGCACCCCCTTCCATCAGTTGCATCCCATGTGTACTGTAATAAAGCAAGTCTTTGAGTAAAAAAAAAAAAAAGAATAAAGCCATGATCACTTTTAATAGAGCTGTTCTTGACAAAGTTAAATAATTCTTACAGATCAAACTACTGTTGTGAGATTTGTTTGGGGTTTATTTTATTTCAAAGCATGTGATCCGTACAGCTGATGAAGTAGAGAAGCCACAAATCAGCACAAAGGGCAACTTTTTAAAACAAGCTAAAAAGAAATCCTCCCTAACACTGCAAAAGGTAAAAACTTTGAGAAAAAAGTTCCGCATATACCACTATGAAAAACCAGAATCTAAAAAAGGACTTAGGTTTGATAGGTTTTCTGTTCCAAAGCTTTTAAGATATTCAAGAGCTCAGATTGAATAGAGGGATCAGCTAATACCTTTTAAAATATATTTGAAAATTTTGGTTTCATTTGTTTTGAAGTTTTTACTTTGTTTTAGGGTTGAAGGGTTCGTTAACAAAAGAAACCACAGTTTTTACAGAAGACTATTTGATTTAATCTCAATATACAGTCATTAAAGGAAAAGAAATAGAAACAGTAGAAGTAACAGCATACACGTCACTAAATTGGGCCAATGACCTACATCCAGACTTAAAGCGCTGGGAAGTCCCTCATTAACAGCAATCTGTGGTCCCAACGGGAAAGGATTCTGGGTGGTGTGTCCAGCCCACCGGTGAAGCTTCCAATCGCCGTTTTGGGGGCTCCTGCTTATATTGTCAGGCCACAAATGGGATATCATCATCAGTTTGCAGGACAAAAATGCAGCTCTGTTCTTTTCTTTAACTTTTACAACGCTGTTTGTTTTACCTAGTGAGTCATAGGATTTCTTAGACCCTGGGGGCTGGCCAGGCCCTCAGGATTAAGAGATCCCGCTTCCTTTCTTAGCTAAGGTGCTGTTTGACTTGCTGGTAACAAGTGGTGTGCTTGCAGGCAGAAATGTAGTCCAGGCAAGGTCTGAAGTGGGTCAGAGGCCTGCTTCCCTACATCTTTTAAAAACAAATATTTATTTGTTTACTGTTATTTTTAATTTACTTTGCTTCACCAAGTCTTTCTTAGTTGTAGCATGTGGGGTCTAGTTCCCCGACCGGGGATCGAACCCAGGCAACCTGCATTGGGAGTGCAGAGTCTTAGCCATTGGACCATGAGGTAAGTTCCTCTCCTACTTCTAAAGCCTAAACAAGACTACCTCCATTTTAATTTCCCTAACGGTTTCTCATTACATAGATTTTGCCCTTCCTCTGAACAGAATTCTTGGGAAAGAAGTTAAAAAGTAAATGTGCTAACAATTTGTTAATACAGCCTTAAAATAAAATTCATTCAGACAAATGTAAAATCACTTTATTTGTGCTCAATTTACTGATGCAGGTGTCTCTCCTGAGACTAAAAATTACAAAACTGGCAGACAGAGCTCAGTTCTTGGGTCTGGGTACACAATTAATATCCCTGCAATGCGGGAGCCTTCTCCAGGCATTCCTACGGAGATCATAACTATATTTGGAGCGATACAGAAAGGGCCACAGCTGCAGTTCAGTGCTGCAAACAAGCTTTCAAATATGTGGAACTTCAGTGAAAACATTAACTATAACTCTCAGAGTATGTTCTGCATGTTATCTCATCTATGCAGCCGTGTCCAACTGTGCCTCCCCTACCAGGAAGCGAAGTGTCAAAGCATGAATATGCCAGACAGGGAGAAAATTTATAGAGAAGTAACCACTACTTTGAGGCTCAATTAGTCTCCGTTTTTACTTTCTTTGAGTGTTAGTCGCTCAGTTGTGTCCAACTCTCTGCAACACCATGGACTGTAGCCCGCCAGGCTTCTCTGTCCATGGGATTCTCCAGGCCAGAATACTGGAGTGGGTTGTCATTCTCTTCTCCAGGGGATCTTCCCAACCCAGGGATTGAACCCAGGTCTCCTGTATTGCAGGTAGATTCTTTACCATCTGAGCCAGTAGGCTAAAGGCATTAATCTGGTAATTCTGAGCTCAAAAATTTACTCATTACAAATATAGAATGTGATTAAGAAAATCATTTATATTTTTAAACACTATCCCTTGCATTTAGGCCCTTATGAAAATCTTAGAAAGCTAACGGGCTGATTGATAGGGACCAGATTTCACATTGATGGGAGCAAATGAGCACCCCTGTTCTCTGCCCATGATCTTGGAGGCCAAGGCATTGGCACAGGCCAGTCCTCTACCCAGCCAGGACCAAGGCCCCCATCTGGGGACATTCAAGTTGTGGCACAGGACCTCACTGTAGCTTCCAACGCAGGCTAGTCTCCGCCTCCAGCTGGATCTGAGTGCACACCCGGTCCACCTGGGCCTCGCTGTCTGCTGTGACCTCCAGGCCTCAGCAGTGTCCCTAGCAGGCCAGTGTGTGCCCCGCAGTCAGCCCCTCAACTCCCCTGCTGAGGTCTCCACTATCGCCCACTGTGCTTGCCAAGGTCTACTGGCCCTCCAAGGCATGAAGGGCTCATGGAATTCTATACTCTGTTAAACTACCATTCAAAAATCAGAATAAAGTGAAAATATTTTCAGAGAAACAAAAATGTAAAGTGTTAGTAACAGACTGTGACTGAAGTATGCACTTTAGGAAAAAAGAAACTGGACCCGGAATGAGGATTTAAGAAGAAAGATGAACAAAACAGATGAGGCAAGACTCAGAGAAGTCAGTGAAGGAATGAGTCTGGATGACTTCATTATTTCAACCTAATAGACAACAGCATATGCACCCCAGCTGCAGAAAGTGAAAAGGAACTAAAGAACCTCTTGATGAGGGTGAAAGAGGAGAGTAAAAAAGCTGCCTTAAAACTCAACCTTCAGAAAACTAAGATCACGGCATCTGTTCCCATCACTTCACGGCAAATAGATGGGGAGACAGTGGCAGACTTTGTTTTCTTGGGCTCCAAAATCACTGCAAACTGTAACTACAGCCATGAAATGAAGACACTTGCTCCTTGTAAGAAAAGCTATGACAAACCTAGATAGTATATTAAAAAGCAGAGACATCACTTTCCCGACAAAGGTCTGTCTAGTCAAAGCTATGGTTTTCCCAGTAGTCACGAAATCTGAGCTTTCGAAGAAGTGCTGCTTCTGAACTGTGGTGCTGGAGAAGACTCTTGAGAGTCCCTTGGACTGCAAGGAGAACAAACCAGTCAATCAATCCTAAAGGAAATCAACCCTGAATATTCATTGGAAGGACTGATGCTTAAGCTGAAGCTCCAATACTTGGGCCACCTGATGCAAGCTCTAATACTTTGGTCACCTTTTCCAGGTGACTCGTTGGAAAAGACCCTGATGCTAGGAAAGATTGAGGAAAAGAGAAGGAGGCAACAGAAGATGAGAAGGTTGGATGGCATCACTGACTCAGTGGACATGAGTCTGAGCAAACTCTGGGAGACAGTGAAGGACAGGGAATCCTGGTATGCTGCAGTCCATGGGACTGCAAAGAGTTGGACACGACTTAGTGACTGAACGACAACAACAAAGAGAAATGGTTTTTAAAATGATTTCCCTCATGAAACAAAAACAAGATGTTATAAAGAAGGAATACTAGGGACAAAAACACTTAGAAATGAAAGATATGATGATGGCAGAAAGAAAAATGCAATGTACAGACTAGAAGATAAAGTTGAAGATCTCTCCCAGAAACATAAGGATAAAAGGTCAACAACTAGAAAAAAGTAGGAGAAAGGAAATTAACAGAAAACTCCAGAAGATCCAACATACAAATAACAGGTGATCAAAAGGCTACAATAAAGAAATCAGAGCTCATAAAGAAATAATACAGGAAAGTTTTGCAGAGCTGAAGGACCCAAGAACCCCCACCAGTGTTCCACCCAAGGAACACTGGGGATGAACAAATCTCACCAAGGTGTGGGGATCACAATGGTCTCTGGCTTCCCCTTGCACCAACAACCAGCAGACATCCAAGTCCGGCCTTCAAACTTCTGCGGGAAAATGACTTTTAACCTAGAAGTCAATACCCAGGTAAACTGCCATTCAAATATGAAGGAAGAAAAGGCATCTTCAGACAGTTTAGTTCTCAAAAACATTTCTCTCTGATGGACTCTTTCCAGGTAAGCCACCAGAACATAGGACATGGGGTCCCGGAATTCCCACTCAACAGAGGAAGAGACACAGGAAGAATTCCCATAAGGAATGAAGAGAAATCCCAGGATGGCAGCTAAGCAGCAGGCCTAGAGAAGACACAGCCTCAAGTGGAACAGGAAAATGAAAGGCTCTACAAGGGCAGAATCAAACTGCAGATGGTGCCTGCAGATGAAATTAAAAGACACTTGCTCCTTAGAAGAAAAGCTATGACAAACATAGAAAGCATTTTAAAAAGCAGAGACATTACTTTGCAGACAAAGGTCCATCTAGTCAAAGCCACGGTTTTTTCAGTAGTCATGTGTGCATGTGAGAGTTGGACCATAAAGAAGGCTGAGCGCCAAAGAATTGATGCTTTTGATCTGTGGTGTTGGAGAAGACTCTTGGGAGTCCCTTGGACTGCAAGGAGATCCTAAAGGAAATCAGTCCTGAATATTCATTGGAAGGACTGATGCTGAAGCTGACGCTCCAATACTATGGCTACCTGATGCGAAGAGCTGACTCATTGGAAAAGACCATGATGCTGGGAAAGATTGAAGGCAGGAGGAGAAGGGGACGACAGAGGATGAGATGGTTGGATGCATCATGGACTCAATGGACATGAATTTGAGCAAACTCTGGGAGATGGTGAAGGACAGGGAACCCTGACATGCTGCAGACCATGGGGTCACAAAGAGTCAGACACGACTTAGCGACTGAACAACAACAACAAATATATGGGCAAAAGACGTGAGCTT